GTTCGCCCACCCGATTCCTGTAAGACGACGTGTGAAGGTATCGCTCTTTAATATATTTTCATTATTACAAGCCCGTTTACGTCTGACAACGGCCGCCCAGGACCTCCGCAGCTAGTCTTGTGATTGTAATATAGAATTTGGTATCTCAAATCAGCTCAGAAACTTTAAAAGTGTTTTTTGAGTTGCTGCTGTAAATAAATGTGCGATAAATATGCCGGGAAAAAAGACGCACAAAACGATTTGTCAAAAGTGGTTTTTCACTTGTGGATTATGAATACTTTGCTTAAATTTGGCTGACAGCAGAAAATTATTGCACAATGATTAATATTTATTTGCGCTGGCCACCAACCAAGGCCCATTGCCGAATGGCAGTGGGAGTAAAATTGGGCGTGGTTACCACAGCAGCAGTCCCAGTTCGAACTCCAGTTCAAATCCAGGTCCTTTTTCACACAGTCACATCGAGTGACAACGTGCTGAATGTTTTTTTTATTTTTTCATATACCCTGTAAACAGCAGTATTTCTTTAAGGGGCAAGCTGGAATTTAAGAAAGAAAATAGTTTAGGGCGTAAATTGGCAGTAAAATCCCTCTGTCTAAGATATATTAAAAAAAACGTAGCAGTTAAATATATTTCGAATTTTACAGGACGATTTAATTTATTTTCCATATAATGAACCTTAAATCCGATTAGTTGAATAAAAATAAGCCGAATCTAAAGCTAAGCTATTTTGGTTCAACTGCTCGTATTGTTACTTTTTGAAAATTTAGAAACAATTCAATATTTAAAAAAATATTTAAAGAATTACATAATTTATGAATAGACACATTTACAATTTATTGATATTTAAATGTTAAAAAACACTTTTTGTGAATTGTTTTAAGCATATTCCTACTCCAATCAACTGTAGTAGGTTACTGCTTTATATGAATACTTTGTGTATATAAAAGTCATTAAGCAAGCATAATTTTCAAACATTATACTCCTCTAAAGGTCCTATAAGCGACTTTTATTCCTTGGACAAATAGTTCAGTTAATACTGCGACTAATCATTAATTAAATGATATTAGAGCTTAGAATCGAATTGGTTAATGCTGGCCTATATTATTTATATGTATCTCCGATCTTTGAATCACTTTCAACTCAGCCAAAGGGTAACTACTAGTCGCGCCCTTGCGTCCTTGGGTTTCTTATATTTTTCTTGCGCAAAAGGCATTTAATTTAGATTTATGCGCCGCACGGCAGTGTGACAGGCTGGCAGCCTGTACAAAACATAAACACAGTTACTTTTCGAGCGAGTGAAATTATGATATCGCCAGGCCACGAGCTGGAGCCAGAGCCAGAGTCGGTGTTGAAGTCGGAGCCAATCCGAGGTCCGGGCCGAGGCAGGGTCTTAGCCACAGCGTTTGCTTTTGCTCGACTGCTTGTTTGCTCGACCGCTGATAACTTATCGAACAATAAAATAGCTTTAGGCCGTGCAAGCAGTGAGAGACTGGAACGGGGACGGGAACTGGGCCATAAGTCGACACAAGGCAAATAAGGATATGCGCAAATAAAATAGCAATAAATCAAAATCTCTGACGATCTGACGATGTGGCTGGCCCCAGCGATTAAGGCCTCATAGTTGTGATTTCTGATGCTGTCTCCTGCTGCCACTTCTAATGGTGTTCCATTCTCCATAAATAAATCGTCTGTGGGTCGAAAGTGATTTTGATTGTTATTTGCTGAGCTCAAGCTGCCGCTGCCGCTGTCGCTGCCATCGTCGCTGCTATTGCTGTCAGTCCTCGGTTGCTAGGTAATTTTCAATTTATGCGGCTTGCCAGTCGCGTTTTTCTTTGCTGTTGTTGTTGCCATCCATAATTTATGCCAATTGTCAGCCAAGCTGCATGCATGACGGCCAAAAATCAATGCAAGTGCGGAAGTGCCCTCCCCCATTCTTTGCGGAGTGCTCTACACCGCCTGCCACTGTCAATAAGGAAACTTCATTATAAATTATCCGGCTGACATTTGCAGCGAGCGGGGCAGAAGGTGAACGCATAAGAAGCAGCAGATTTAAGGCAAAAAGCATTTCCCTTCAGTTTTAACGCAACTGAAGCTTTTACCCACACATACACATACAGAGGGACACACACACCGGAGATTGTTTCAATCTGCTTAAGCGTTCAGTCAAGCGACCTGCCACGAGGCAATCAGCCGTGCAACCAGCTGTTTTATATGCTGCAAATCCCTCTTCTTGTCCTGCTCGTGCTTATCCTGATGACTCCTGAATGGCCATTAAAAATGATTGTTGTGTTAAAAATGTTGTATAATTGTGCGGAAGCTGACGTTGACTAGCATTATGCTGTTGGGGGCGTAGCACAAGCCATATTAATGAAAGCAAACATAAACTCGTTAAGCTGAGAAGCTCTATGTGAAATATTCATTCACCCGCATCTTCAATAGAAAACTTAAGCAATAGCCGGACTCAACTCAAACAGATTTGACCACAATTAGATGCAATTAGTTCTGTAAAATGGCCAGAGCATCTCTATAAGTAATCTCTTAATGCTATTACCATCGTTATGCTGCCATATTAGCCAAAGGGCGAGGTGCACGGATCGTCAATTAAGGCACCGTCCACGTTTTATGGCGCCACTTTAAAATATATTAAAAATTAAGTTAAAAAAAAAAATGAAATAACATATATAAAAATTTGAAATGCGTAGCAGCAGGCGCACTCGACTGCTTTATTGGCACCAGTCAGCTGGAGAGCCAGAGAGCAGCTCGGGTTGGTTGCCTACACTGGACATTAGGTTTTGGGTTTTTGGCCGTGGCCATTGATGACAGCGGGCACCAGACAAGGCCCAGTCGTAGCAGAGCATTATGCTCCAGCTTGTACATGATATAGCGTCATTAAATACACATTACCATGCCGCACGCTGCGCGGAGTGAAGGGAAGCACCGGAAGGGGAGTGGGGACAACGATAAAGGCAACGGGCAGCAGCGATACAATAACAGCAATAATAAGCAGCAACAGTCGCTCGAGTCAAGCGAGGCGAGTGGCTATTAAAAAGCGCCAGGGAAGATACACATGAAAACACACACACACACACACCGATATACACACACCGACACACGCACAGTCACAGACAGTCACAAATTACAGCATTTCGACAAGCAACAAATCGAGGAGCACCACATTCCGTTGTGGCAATGTTGCCCGACGCCCGATTCCTGATGCCGTTCGATGGGAAACGACGGTGTCGAGTTTCAATTGTGCTCGTAAACGTGGCTCCAAATTGGCTCACAGCGAATAATTCATATAAAACACTTTCGCAACGAGCGCCGGCTTGCCATTAGCATCACGCTGTTACAACAGTCCAAGCCCCCTCTCATCAGTTCACCTGGTGGTGCCCACGCTTCTGGTTCTGGTTACGCCCCATGTAACCCCACGATTGCATTTACAGCAAATTATTTATGGCTGCGGCAGACACGAACCGGAAGCGAATATGCGCTGCCAACTTCACGTCTATCAATATTTTATGAAACCCTGTCTGCAGGACAGCACAGGAGCAAGCAACGCGTCCCTCACAGCCGCAAACAAGGACACAGCTACTAGGACAAGGGTATCAGTATCGGCATCAGCTTACTTGTCGTCCTGCTGCCCAGCTGTCTGTGTCTCTTTCCCTCTCTCAGTCGCTCTCTCCCGAGCCGCCTGACTGCCTGTCGATATCCGGTTAGATGAGTATCTAAATTGCCTTTACTGTTGATGAATTAGCGCCGGTTGCCGGCATCGCTCTTCATGTGGATGCGGCTGGATGAGCCAGAGCCGGAGCCAGAAACGTAGCCGGAGCCGGAGTCCTGGAGTGTCTGTGCCCGTTAGATAAGTGCCATCAATGCCAGGCTACCCAAAAGAAATTTCAATTTGCTTTGAATGATTATATAAATACCAGAGTATAGGCAGGCAACGTGGGCTGCCACCGGTATTCACAGTTTTTTTTATAATAGTTGAAGAAATAGAAAAATCATAAGTAGGAATAAAATTCACTTATTTCACACAATAAGATAAAAGAAAATGCCCACAAGGCAATGAGAAAATGTATAATAGAAAATAGAAGAGTAAAAATTCTTAAGATTAGTAAAATAAGTTTATCTGTATTTCCTCTCAAATCAAATTGTTTTTATTTAAACCAATGGTAAACTTTTGTTACACGATAAAAAATTATTTTATAGCTTATGCTAAGCTGCTTGTTGCTTTATTTAAAAGTTTTCAGCTTCAAGGAAACTGTTCTCGTTGATTTGATTCTCTCAACTGAGAGTGTGGCTAATTATTCCATAGCTCTTTTGATTATAATCTGACATCAATTGAAATGTGAGAATATAAACAATATGAAAATAGGATTTGGATGACATATTCTCGGGTATTTAAATTGTGGGCTCCAAGAGGTTAGATCGCGTTTACTCAGCAGATATTCCAACTCGTGCATTCATATAGCAGCTTGGGACGATCGCCGCTTTCCACCCAATACTTGAATAATATATTTAAGATTTGTTCCAGAAAAATAATATTAAATCTGCCAAGAAAAAAAATGATATCTATATTACTTAGAAAGCAGCTTTATTTTGTTATATAATAATAGATTATGATTATTACAACTATATTTATATAAAATTAGTCTGATATAATAACGATTATAATCTGCCATGCTTTCTCAAATGTCATTAATATGTATATAATTATTAATTTATAGAAGCTGGATATAAGAAATGTAAAATAAAATTATCTAATGGAAGATATAGATAAAGGTACAGGCATAGATATATGTATGTATATACTATTTGCATGCCAGGCCCAAAAGATATGAACCTGTTGAGTATACGTAGCAAATTAAAGTTTGTGCAGAAAAAATAATTATTTCCCATGAATCCATTTCCTCACTCTAATGAAAGTTGCTAAAACAGCAGTAACAGCAAAACAGAAGTAATTTAAGATGTAAAAAACAAAAAGAAAATTATTTGAATATGTTTAACTAAGCATTTTGAGTCTTTTAGATTTTTATAATATAATATTTACAAAATTCACGTTGACCTGCAATGCTCTCGCGAAAGGAAATTGTGTCTATCTTACTCCTGTTGACAGCGGTACGTTGCGATTGGCAGTCGAAAATTATGTTAATCAACGCATTATCCCTGACAGCTGATCTGCATATTGAATGCGGCTTTGTTTGGCAACATAATGCCCCTATCCACGAGCTATGAGCAGTTGGCTGAACAAACCATTAACGCAGGCACCGCCTACATTTGCATCCTGTACGCCCTGAGCACATGGGTATATCATTCAAACTACTCGGAGCCCCGACGGCAAATACGCTATGTGGTGGGCTCTCATATGCTGTTAGTGGTTTTGCCCTTTACTATATTTAATGCCATTTTGTACCACTTCTGTACCACTTCAGCTAATTGCAATGCTGATACTTTTGATTGCGGCCAACTTGACCGGGCTCATAACGGTCATTCAAACACTGTTCATATCCGACCTAATGGATGCCTTGAGCACGAGGGATCTGTTCAGCTCGTTTGGTTATTTGTGTCGCACAGTGACAGCTGTGCTGTTCGTGATAACACTTTTGCTGCTGATCATTATTCTGATAATTGTCACTATAACCGCATTCAAGCATTCGTGGTCCATATCGAGCCGTCAGGATTCTAAGGAAGATTTGCCATAACAAGAATATTCTGCAGCAGCTGCCATTCGGCTGGCAGAAATTGGTTTTCATTTAATGTCAAAAACTTTGTGTTGCCTGCGTGCCAAAAAGTATATAAATATTTTACTCGTAACCCAAACTGAGGCTCCACCAGGTAATGAAAGCGTAAAAAATATATATTCTTGTATAAATATGTGTATATATAAAAATGCATATAAATGCGGGTGACTCAGTCCTGATGTCTGGCAGGCACCTCAAGCAACAGCTGCAACTGCTCTGATGATACCCTGGGCACATTCATATATGACTGTGTGTCTGCGCGTCTGGCTGCATTTTGTTCTTTTCTTTTTTTGTATAATAAAAGCACACAGACAGTGCAATTTTCTGAGCGAGACAAACAAGGTTAAGATATAGAACATCAACTTAAAGGTAGCCCAATCTTGTCAAATGGAAAAGTTAAAGGCAAGTGGGCGTTGGGCTGGGATGTGTTAGGCGTTGGCCAATTACGCAAATGCTCGACTGGCTTCGGGGGAGGGCACATTGGGGTGTTTGCCCATCAAATGTGACATTTGGCAGCAGCAGCAGCAGGGCTTACAGTAAAATTTCCAGTTAAGTTATTGCCGCGCGGAAAACTCACGCGAAAGTAATTTCAAATTTAATTGCGTATAATTTAGATGGGCAAAATGTTTGCGTGCGTTTAATTAACTGAAAAATAAAGCGAAAAAAAAACAACAAACCAAATAAATAAAACGGACGGGAACGAAGCAGCAGCAGCAGAAACGTCAACAATAAAAACATCAGCTGCAAAATGTTTAATGTTAAATGCCAACTAATTAAATTTCGGGCCATGCCATGACATTCGATTCCGGATGTCGAATCGCAGAAACGCACACCAGTAGATCCATTCAACTCGTGTACACAATTTATTGTTGCATTTAATAGCCAGCCCATGCGGTTGTCCTTGTGCTTTAGTGCTTAACACTTTTATTGCGTATACGCAGTGTATTACGGCTCCAAATGCTATTTGTATGCAAATAACGAGCCTTTGCCTAGCAGCGTCTACAACATTCAAATGACACCACAAAACCACAAACCAACTGACGACTCGACATGCGTGGTAGCAAGTGGTGGCGGTGCCAATGCAGCCATTAAATCCCAAATAAAGCCAATCAAAACTAACAGTTTCCTTTTGCCAGCTGCCAACTGCCAGCATGCAACTTAACTAAACCACCTGATCAAAGTTAGTGCAAAAATGGAGTGCACACTGCATGCCATGGGAACTGATAATATTTTTGATTATGCTTCACTCATTAGCACGATATAATAATTCGTTATAGTCTCTCGTTGTGATAGGGAATTCGGTTTAATTTGAGGAAATAATTTAATATTAAATTCAGCTATATAATTAACTCTTTTGGCATTACCTTAATTCTCGATTGATTTTAATATTTATTATTGGTTATATATGAATGCATCGAAAGACAAGCATGCAGCTTCCAAGGAATATGATACTTTTTATTGAGTCAAAAGAAGATATCATTCCAAATTACTGTTTAGCAAATAAAATAGTTTGATAATTTTCTTCATATCTAATTAGCATTTATATTGTATGTTGCAATTAGAGCTTTTTCTCGAAACGCTCTCAACTCTTTCACATTATTTTGCTTCAAAAATACAATACAAAATACACAGGAATCCAATCTACTTTAATCTATCTATTTCTGGGAACAGGAGTATGCTGAATATCAGCAGTTTTGTCTGTGTCAAAATATAGTTTGATAAATTGTAATAATTATTACTTAAATTATTTGTATATTTTTATTAATAAGTCACATCAAAATCCATCGAGTTTTTAACCTGGTGCTTCATTGCGAACGATCCCACATGGGCAGCGACTCCATTGTTTCCGCAGCAGACTAAGAAACTTATTAATCATCTCGCAGATAATTAATAATGTCAATTTTTTATTATTAAAGTTGATTAAACTACATGGAACTTGATGCTGCTTGGGCTATCAAGAGACTGCGAGATATATTTAAATAATTGTTAAGCCAAAGTCGAGCTCGCAGCCATTATCAGGGACAAGAATTTAATGATTATTTGCACGCACTGTTAATATTGATGTTTTATTTATTGAAATGTTGTAAAACGAGCTCGAGATATGGGTCAATTATGTATGTGCAGCATGGATCGTTAAGGCTATCGATTCGACAATGCAATTACCATGGCCATTCAATGTGCGCTCAATTCTGACAAGGACAATGTGCACTCACACACAGGGACATTCACGGGCACATGCAATTGGCAGCCGCAGCGCGTAAATTTGGGTTCAGCTCAAAAGGTCAACTGCAAGCACGACAGATGGAAATGCAAAATGAATCTGTGGCATTTGCCACATGCAGCACGTTGCAGTGGTTCATTGTACGCATAAATTACGCTGCCATATGTCAGACAGTGTCCGGATTTTTTCTGGCTTGCGGACCAACTTGGGCGGAGACCGTCAAGTGGCAGCGTGTGGGCTGCAATTTATGAGCAGGCGGCATTCGCGTCTAATTGCCGCTGGCTTGAAGCCAAGTTACGGTCATAAATATACAGAACCCACGGTATAGTCAAAACCAACAAGTGCAACATAACTAAATGGAGTGCAACATGTTGCACAAACATCAATCAAGTGACAGGAGCGCTAAGGTCGCTTCCGGCTAATCAATCATCAATATTCTATCGATGAATGTGACAGGCGCCTTTGCAATCTTCTGTATTTAATAGAAAAAATGTCAATCGAAGTAGTTTTACTTTTTCTTCCACACATTTCTTTACGAACTCTACATTTGGGTTTGAGTCTACGCACCAGTGAGACGAAATCGCAGGATGGCCGCGCCAAACGCTGAGGATGAGGCCAACTGGCAAGATGGGGAGCAAAATATTGCCGATTTTTTGCAGGACACATTCGAAGCGTTGCCAGAGGATGATGGCGATTCGGCGGCAGGGGATGGAGGTTGGTTGTCCAAATTCAATACATATTTTAGTTGCAATAATTTGCCCACAAATCGCAACCAGTCGAAGCCAATCCCGAGCTGGAGGAGCATGTCAATCGGCCATTTCCAATCAATTCGGAACTGCGACACCGGCCCAGGAATCATCTATTGGCGCCGTACTTCTGCAACCTGTGCCGCGATTATGTCCGTGGCGGGGTAATCACCATTTGTGGGCATTTATTCTGCTGGACCTGTTTGTGGGCCGATCTGCACAATCGTGTGATGCCGCGTTGTCCGCGCTGCATGCGACGTCTACTCCTTCACGAGGACATCATGCCGTTCCTGGGCGAGGGACCCAATGCCGGCCCCGACGATGCAAACATTGTGGCTCAGCCAGGTGACGTGCCACGCCCCTCGGGCCTGTATCTAGAACACCAGCAATATCCAATGTGGTTCGCCGTGCACACCTACGAGGAGCTGCATTTTGCCGGCGCCAACGGGGGCGAGCGGAATCTCTCGGTGATCGTGCAGCGCATGCATCAGGACTATCAGCGACCCATGGACTGGGTCAAGTTTCTACAGTGGTTTCAGTTGGGCTGTGCCCTGGGCATATTTTATTTATGGCTATATATAATGTCCTTTTCAGATTAGTTATTCGTATAGTTCCTATATATATATGTGTGTACTCGCATGTGGATAAATGGGCTGTGCCTTGAATAGTTACAAATTGTTGTGAGGTTTTTAGTCGTTGCCCGAGTGCTCTCAATAAATTCAAATTATTAAACAATTTGCTTAAATTTGCATACAATTTATTGTTAATTTCTTAGCTTTGGCTCCGCTCCAAATACCTAACTATTTCATGAAGCGAAGCCGACATCAAAGTTTCTCCAAGAAACAACAACTAACTTTTGGGTGTCACAGTTTAAGCTTGACAATGGAACGGGCTTGGCTTGGCTTGGAGTTAAGGGCAGAGAGTCGGGGCAGCAGCAGCTGGCTGACCAGCTAAAACAAAAAGTTCCATGGGCATTCGGGTTAATCCCGAACTTTTACCAGTGAACTTTGCCGTCAAGTCCAGCCTTGGGTAAAGTATAATTAACTTCGTCGTGTTGGTTTTAAAGATAAATAATTTTGTAAATTAAAAACTTAATTTAACTATCATTATGAATATGTATTAATCAAATGTTTCAACTTTCAATAGGTTAAGGAACATTGAGTGTGCAATCTTCACTCAGAAAAATTTAATGCTTAAGTAGGAATTTTACTTAAATTTTTACGACACCGCTTTGAATTATTTAAGTAAGAATTATTTAACTTTTGACACCCAAAAGTTAAAAAAAAAATAGCACAACGATTTTGGGCGCCTTAGTAATTATTTTTTAACATATAGACCATTCACACCATTCGTAGCAGCTTTGTATTGTTATTTGTTTTAATTAACTGAAACTTTTCGCATGTCATTCCTTTAAGTGCTGAAAATGAAATTAAAGAAGACTAAAGATTAAAAATTTGAACTATCTGCAGTTGGCCAGCTCCTACTAATAGGGTGTGTAATTAGTCGATAATCCTTTTGAGTGGCATTTGCGGTTAACAATTAATACGCGGCTGTGCGGCCATCATTTGTCATTTCGATATAAATGCCCCGCGGTGGGACTCAATACAGCGCATACAGCTGGCTTCCGTGTTGATGGCCAATTTCATGGGATCCCAGTGCGATATTTATCATTAATTAAAAGAATGCTATAAAATACTTTTTTCGGCCTGCGGAAAGTCAGTCGATGCAGTTGCGTCCGGGCTCAAGGATGCATCCTGTGAGGCTGTTTTTATTATTTCAGCTTAAGCATGTGCGTGTGTGCGTGCATGTGTGCGTGCTTATGTGTAAAATGCATTAAAAATGAGCACTTGCCAAGGAGTCGGCTTTGGCTTTGGCTTTGCTGCAGCGCAGCGCTGTTGATTGACGACTTTTAAATTCCATTAAATTTATTGGAACTTAAGCCTCGACACCACCAACATGCGCCAATGTCTGCCATGCGGTAGAAGGGGGAGGGGGCGAATTATGCTTTATGAAAACTTTTGATAAAGCATGTTAATTGGTTTATCTTTAAGTTTGCTTGGCTGACTCTCGCAGGTAGGTTTTATATTATATCTTATGATATGCTGATATTTATAAAATTTTTCTGGCTTGTAGTTGTAGATATATAAAAAAAAATTTATAAATAAGCTGCGTTTCTATTCTTCATTGACAATTGTACAGCTGACTGAGCGCTATGTACACCCTTGTATACGCTCAAAAACAGTTTTAACGCACCCTAAGTCCGATTTTTGAACACATTTTGAAAATTGTGTGCTATGCTTCTGACATATAAGGCATATCTAATCAATAGGATAAATAGTTTGAAAAATTATTTCATGC